CTCCATGTACAAGTATCTACGTACAAGAATACTTGACTGCAACACTGCAGCCAAACCCGTGCTGATCCCTCCAAAAAGATCCAGCAAACAAACACCCTCTGGGGAATACTCCCATACGATAGGTGTAGTAACTAATGGTGATAGGGTGCTAAGACCACATACTAGCCGACCACCTGAGACTCGCTCTGCCTCTGCTGGTAAAGAGGCCTCACTCCAAGCCTTCTTCACCAACCTATCAGCCTCCTGCTGTAATTCGTGGCAAGAATCCCAAAGTGGAACATCCAAAGATGATGACACTGCCGCTGCGAGACTCACCATCTCCTCCACCTCCTCATAGACTGGAGTATCCTCGGCTGACCTGTTCCCCTCCAACAAGTCATCAGGCCATGTGAGCACTCCACTGAAACCCGCAATAGAGGCTAAAACTGCAGGCGAAGATCCAAGAGGTCGATCTCGAGAAATGAACCTCACAGGCAGCTCACTCGTACGTCCATCACCGGACTCCCAACCAGGGCGATAAGCTACCGTCTCCGTCCAATAATCCATCCGAAATCCCATCGGATATAACACCGCTCCACCAACAAGCACATCATATGACTCTGCTGATGTAACCACTGCTCGAACTCCAAACTGCGAGCTATCCTAAGCATGACCATGCCTCAACTGCACTGATATGCGCTCTCTGGTCATCCTGTAAGACCTGTCGCTGGAGCCACCGAGTGATGTCTGAATCTGGAACGGACAAGGCTCCAACTCGGACCTCCGAACTCCCAAACTAATGCAGGCAATCTTGCCCAACATCAAAGGCTGTGCACCAGAATCAAGCAACACTCTGGCTGGGACATACACCTGCCCTGTAGCACTCACCAAGCGAAATACACCGCTCCGGTTGTCCACCATACACACACCAGGGACAACCCTCTCCCGATCAATGGCTAGTCGGGCTGGCAAGGTCTCCATCCGTGCCGCTGCCGCCTGCCATGTCGACTCATCGCTCGATGAAGTCGTAGAGGATAGCTCCTCACCACTAGTCTTGCCAATCTCGGCACTCGTAGCAGTGATACTCCCACGTTCACACAACGTGGCTGCTGCACAAAAAACCCGAGCCAAGTCAATCCTAGAGTCCATCAGCTCCATAGCTGAAAATAATGGAGATCTCATCACTGAGCTAGCCATCCGCGTCACTGCACTAGATGGTGTGTCCGTGTCCACCACACGTGACGTAGATGTCTCAGTCCTCCCACTAAGGCCACTAGGTGGTACAGGTCTCATGGTTGAAGTACTGCCCACCTCTGACAGCAAAAACAACTGGGGAAGTCTGGCCTGACGCCCACCCTCACCCCTCTGAGGATCCAACTCCCCTGTCGCACCGCGTGGCTCTAGAGCTCGAGCTGCACCTCTAGTCACTGCAACCGATGCCTCCACCTGTGCTGCACTCGCTAGATAAGGGAATCCTCTTCCTCGTAAGAGGTGGAAGTGCTCGCTCCAGAACTCGCCATAGCAGCAAGCCTCTGCTCCAACTGCTCAATACGAGCAGCCATCGCGCTCTCTGTAGCCGAAGTAGCACTCGCTACAGGACGTCCAACTACACCGGCACCTCGACCACCTCTACCAGCACGGCCACCTCGACCTCGAGAAGCATCACCACCACGACCTCTACCACCAGATGTCAACTCTGGATGAAGGTCAAAACATCGATCTCGAGTATGACCTGCTCGACCACAGTGGTCACACACCACCTGTGCTGACTGGGGTCTAGCCTGTGAACTCTGACCTCCGGCCTCCTGGGGACAATCTCTCCGCCGATGATCCCCTCCACATGTCCAACATGCTGGTCCCTGCTGCTGGCCAGCAAACGACGGCACTAGTGCACGTGCCCCTGTATCTCTAGCGGCTGTCTGGTGTCGTGTCTGCACTCCGCGACCCCCATCACTACCACCACTAAAGGGTCTAGACTGTGCCGTGCTCTGCGGGACACGAGAGGTAGTGGCTGCGTCTCTAGCGAATGAAGAAGTCACCACCCTCTCCTCCGCTATGTTAAGCTCAATCTTCTCAGAAAGAGCAAATACATAGGCCAATGTCGGTGACGCATCGCTCAAGAGAGTAGCATCCCGAACCCTCCGCCGTAGCTCTCTGTCCAGTATCCTATACCAATACTGCACCGCCTGTGCCTCAGTTACACCGTGAGTAACTGAGATCAACCGCCGCATACGAGTGTATGCCTCCCGAAGACTCTCACCAGTCTTCCGCTCAAACTCCTGGAGACTCCTCAACTTCTCCGTCCTCACCCCCTGATAGTTCTTCCTCAACCTCTTGAAGAACTCAGGAATGGGGCTGAACGAAGGTACGCCAGTGGTCTCTCCACTCGTGCTGGCAATGCCAACAGCACCGCTGGTGGTACCTGCTCCACTAGTACCATCGGTGATGCTACCACTCGCCCCTCCACTGGTACCAACACCACCCTTGGTGATCGACGTATAGTTTGGAGACCAATGACGCCTCCATGCGTCAATCTCCATAGCATACTCTCTCCCAAACTCATGGTAGTCATCCATGGGAGGCCCCTCAAGATGCTGAAACAACCTCTTCCATGCAAAGAAGGGTGTAAACAACGTGGGGTTACGCAAGAACTGCATATCGCATCACGTGTCAAACTCCTGGATGAAATCATCCAACTCAATGGTGCCCACTGCACCAGAGTACCGCCGTGGGCCCTTCATGGCCCCGTACATACCGTCCATGTCCTCAGTCCACGAGTGTGGGACCCTAGACGATATCACCCCCAAAGATCCGCTATCTGCCACACTCCTTGCCTCTACAACCATTGATGCGCTAGGATGAGGTAGCCGATACCTCAACCCACTCCGCGTAAATCCTCCACGGTCCTCAACGGAACCCCCAAACTCCTCCGTGATGACTGACTCACCAATCGGCACCACTGCCACAACTCCACCTGCCCTCGTCCCTGCACTAACCTGCTCTAGCCCTACTGACTATGGGTATGGGCAACCTAACCTGTCATCACCGCAAGAAGACTCTCTTGGTCCACTAGTCATCACTCCAGTCTCACCATGAGAGAAGCAAAGATAGGCGCCGGTGATCAAATCCAGTCGCACTATCGACAGCACACTGGAGTAAAACTACTCCGGAAATCAACGTCAACCCAGACATGGGCGCGCATCAAGAAGCCAGACTGGAGAGGATCCAAACACAAGCAAACAGCTAGCAACGACTCTCCAGCCGAAATGAAACACAGCACAGAACAACACAACACACGGGACATCGCCTCGCATCGCGACCCCGAGTCGAACTCCATCGCCCCCTACCACCTTCTATCTCCAGCGCCTGCAACGCCATCTCGTTCATCTCGTCGCAAAGAGTGTATCCACGCCGAGCTGCCCCGTACTTCACCTCATAACTCCACTTCACACTGTAACTAGGGGCAAGGAATATAACAAATACAAAAAACCTATCTACCCTAACTGTTCTCCATAGAAAAAAATAATAATGATAAATACATATTTTCACAACTAAAAAATCATAATAAATGAGACCGAGTGCAGATTCTCAATCTCTCCAGAAAAATACTCTCTTTTTTTTTCTCTCTTTTCTTTTCTTTTCCCTTTTTTTTTTTTTTTTATTTTTTTTTATTTTTTTTTTTATTTTTTTTAATTTATTTATTTATATATATAAAACGCTATAAGAGTTGATTATTGAGATAAATATTGGTGCATATATTTGTTCCCTCCTTCGTCCAACAGATCAGCAAAGCCACACTCCAAACATGCTTCATGCCCCATAATCTTCTCCGCCGAAACCTGTGTCGAAACACATACACAAAGAGTCGAGCCAAACTCACTACTCGTAGGTAGACTAAAAGTCGAAGCTAAGGGGAAAAACCCCGACGCGTAAGGCTCAACTCGAAGAACTGACAGTTCTTCGAGTTCGCCACGAATATAACCCACGGAAGGTGTCGACTCCATCCAACGTTCCTCGCCCGTCTGCCGCGGCCCAACGTTAGCCGACTCCCAACGTTCCCCGACTCCAACTCGAACTCAACGTGTCTCCACTCAAATCGACCCAACGTCTCGAGCCATGACAGAGACAACAAATAGCAAGTATGTCCATAGATCAGTAATGAAGGGATCAGAAAACCCATTGGGCATTTCCAAGTTAATTCACATATACAGGACAGACACTTTCAAATTCTTTCGTTTCTCATCTCCATCTCACTAACAACCCCTACCATCCTGTTCAGAAGCTAAGGCAGACTGTCAGTTTTGATCAAAATTACCCTCCTTCATGCTTGCAGCATGGAACTCAGTGGCTGTCTAACTCCCCAGCAGCGGGAAAGGGCCCTTAAAATGACCCAGTATATGTCCTGCTCAAGTTCTGATCTTCCAGGTTCTAAACGGCAGATGGAAACTGCTGTCCCCTGTCCCCGCCAAAAGTGGCCAGTTTGTGATCCGAAACTTGCAGTCAGTCATTATCCAGTAGACCTGCTCGTTTCGCGGAACTGTGGGCGATGAACTGAGTCTCTCCTAATCTACACGTTTGTGAGCTCATATGGCTCTAGCCTTCTTTCTATGCTGTGAGCTGTGACTTCTGAGTAAAGCTTCACCGATTCTGGAAAACACACAGAATCACTCTCGTCCAAATGTCTGAGAAGACCTACATATTAAACTTACACAACCGTGTGCGTAATTCATTGAATGCATTGTAAATTTTGTCTAAAATCCAGAAAGGTGTGACCTATAGGTCACACCTTTCTGGATTTTAGACAAACTTTAAACAGAAAGGAGGGATTTCTCTGGTACATTTATAGAGCATACGGTTGTCTTTAAAATCAAGCAGGAACTTGAAGATGAACTCAAGGCAGATTCTGAGATTTATTGCTTTTTCTCAATAATATTCATAAAACGATCAAAGTGGATCAATTATATGTTAAAAATTCAACAATTTTTCAAACTTTCTATAAATCAGAAGCAAAGAAACTTTGGCTCTGCTCATATTGAATTTGAATAATCTTCTACTGCGTAAATTATCATAAGTAGACTAGCCGAAACTTAAATACTTAAATATCGATAATTTAAGGATATAGATGCTGCTTAGAGACAACCTTCCGACCTACGGCCCAATCTACCACCCGAATTATGAGGTGAGAAATAGACTAGATCTTAGCCTGTTGGCCAGCTCAAAGCCCCCAACTGCTCATTTTCTTCGAAAAAATATCTCATCTGCCGAGACCAGAGAGAATGAAGATTGATTCCAATTCTTAAATGAACAGAGAAGAACATATCCTCTCAAAATCAAGCAGTTTGGGAAACCAATAATAAGTAGATCCACAAAGCGTCGAGGTGAATCCAACATCCTTTAAAACTTGTGCTGCACTACGATACATTTCGAATGCCAAGTTTTAAAATTTTCATCATTTGTCCCTGGGTGTCGAAACGAGTGTATTAGAAACTTGAGCTGTATCGCCAAGACTAAACTACGCCCATCGACAATTATTTACAAGAGAGATTTAGTGCCCCTATCAATTTTTACATCTCCCATTTAATTCGTCGGATTATAAAAATCAGGTGCCTCGTCCATCTGATCGTGAAATCCTCTGCTCGGATAAGTATCTTATAACTTCCGAGACACGAGTATTATTCATCTAGAGATTCAGTATTCTGGACTTCTTTGAATATCATATCATATCATATCATGTTCAGGCTAAGAGTACAACTAACGGTTGACGACTTGGGGTCCAAGTTCTCCATCCAAAGCACCAGATCGGAGAGTTTTCCACTCAATTGTCGTTGTCATTTATTATATATGCTCGGTGGCAGAGCATTGACAAAGATATCTCGTGATTATTCCAGTGACCAAGACTTGAAGTATATCATATATCATTTGGACACTGAGGTTCAAGTCTTTCACAGCTTTCCTAACGAACACTGATATCTGGACTGATTGTGATAACGTTAACGTGCTCGTCCACCTTCTTCCTTGTCATTTCGTCCCTGAATTGATCATCTCTATGGAGACTGCAAGAAGGCCATCACATGCGTTAGTAGAGTTAAGATATATATGAAATCAAATCCCAGACAGGCAGGGTTCAATTTTTTAGATTTCGTAACATTCATTATGGATGAAAGGAAATTTACTATATCCAACGCATGACTTCGTTCATGTTCGATGCGCCGCAATTCATGTGTCCGATAATGACAGCCCAAATTCATTTGCTGAAGCTGCAATTGCTGGTTATCAAATGTACATCAGATATGAATATGTCTGTGTCTTAACATCTGATGATGACAATTGTAGCAGTCAGCAACACCTCGGGATGAGAGCTTGAAAGATACTCACAAGAATGGAGAGAAGAGCCCCGACAAGAGTCGTGAAGACGAGGTCCAGTACCACTGACACTGGCCCATTGAGCAGCCCGGTGATGGTCACGAGCAGACCGGTTGCGGCTGAGTTCGTGCGGATGACGATGTTTGTCACATTCGAAGGAGTGAGCACTCGTCCCACTTGCGATGTGACCCCCATCACCGTGCTCCGAACCAGCAAGTCTACTTGGCCGTTGACGGCCTGAAAGTTTCGGATGACGAACTGGCCAGAGTTGGCGGGGACTGTGGCCAGCCGGTTCAATGTGCCGTTCAGAATCTGGAAGATCAAAACTTCGACGGGGCTAGCATTGGTGACTGTGATAACTGGTGTGGTCGCGGGTGGTGGTGGGGGCTGCGCAGCCACTGGGCTCCATGCTGCGAGGACCACAGCAAATGCTGCAACAAGAAGGAGCGCACTCTTGGTCATCATGGCTGCAGCTGCGGATGCAAGTTAGACAATTGAGACTCTGCGTGAGCTAAAGATCTGAAGGCAGCGAGTATTGATGGAACGGAGTGGAGAAACCCTTGGAATTTATAGTGAAGCCGATTTGTGCTTTTTCTGAAGGGACAATTATGGAGGTCTCTCGGAGACTGTGGGTGTTTCTTCCACTGATCCAGTCTGAACCCTTGATCTGCTTGATCGTTAGTTCGTGCCAAAAGTATCTGCCACGTAGAGGACCATGTATCATCTATGTACTTTCTTTCAGATGAGGATTTCAGGTGAATGATGTTTTGTTTCAACTTCGGTCGTGCACTGAAAAGTTCCGTTCATTATTCCTTAAAGTGAAGGAGCCTTGATGTCCTGCCACCAAGGTCATCATATGTCTTCTATATCGCATTAAAGATCGAACTATAAATTTGTATACATGTTAATTATGGTCCTGTACATATTCAAGGTGGTTTGAAGATAGGATTACTTGATCTAAAACCTCTGTGAACGAGGATGTATTGAAATTTTCACACTCAGAGATTTTGATACATAGAACAATGCAAATGGTTAAAGTGTTAGATGATCGGCTTCCAAAGTAAGAGTCGCTGAAATGAGTTTATGACATTGCCTGCATGTAATTTATTTTTGAGTTTATCTTAATTGTTCATATGCCACTTGTCCTTCTTATTAACCTTGTAATCAACGTGTGGGACAAAAGAAGTTTTTGACTTTTCCGAGTCATGCTTCATGTGACGACATTTCAACCTCCTAAGTTGGCGTGTTGCATTTGACAAAGACTGGGGACGGTATTATATAGAGTCCAATATAAACTTGAAATTGATCACGTGAAATATTTCATCCTTAATTTATAAGATCAAATCAAATCGTGCTACGTCAATCTATTTCTCTCCAAAACTAAAATTTTATAAAAGTCATCATAAATCAAAATTCGCCACAACACACATGGTGCTGCAAGATTCAATCTTCTTTTACACTCCAATTTTCTCAAAACGTTCACAAGTAAAGTATATTCATATGCTTGACAAAAAAAATAGTATTTTCAAACACATTCATATTTTAGTCTTTGATTCAAAATTTACAACCATAATACGTATTGTCTATGAAGATAATATTTTCGTTATATTTATAATTATATATAAAGATAGATCTCAATTCTTTATTAATCATATCATAGTCAAAAGTTTTATCAAAATAAAAAATTACATAATTTGTAAAACTTAAATCTGTGTACAAATATTTTTAATTTTACATGTGAAAACTGCCATCAAACAATTAGTAAATCTCTATTTTGATGATGTTGGAAAAATTTTACATATATTTTGATGAATACACATGATGATAGTATAGCTTAAAAAAGTTTGATGAACAGATGAAGCAGTTTATTGAAACTACATCACTTACAAATTTTATCTTGATTAAATATTTCACAAAAACTTTCACATACAATACAGAGTTTATGTTTTACAATTTCTACTTAGCATGATATAAAAAATGTATAAGTGTGTCTATTAGCATTTTTTTGAATGCATAAGTTATTTAATAATGATTAGTTTAATTTACATAAATACTTTATTCGAAAGGAAAGTAGAAGACAACAAGGCTTTTGAGACTATGCAAATTGTCAACAAATAGTCAAACTAAAGATGATGTATTTATTAAATTGAACGCCGGCAAGGAGAAGAAAATAAAAGGAAAAGAGGCTTTAGAGAAAAAAGAGAAATAGAAAAAGCTTGTGAGCATCAATGATTTTTCACGTTCGTCGAGGGCAAAAAATTTAGCTATGGAAATAACCCGGTGTGCATCAATGATTTGCTCAAGTTCGTGGGGGGAATTGAGCTATGAAAATAGCGGAGCTCGTGGTCGTGATGCAAATGAAGAATGTGGTGAATTCAGAGTTGGTGCTGCATCTTGACCCTCATATCAGTACCCAAGCAAGTTTCTCATTCTAGATGACAAGTAATTGTAATAGCCTACTGATTGTGATTGCTGTGCTTCAAGTGTGAGCACAAAACTGTGCTCACATGTTTTTTTAACCTTATGAGAGTTAAAAGTTTAGATTTAAGCTCTTGCAAAGTTGTGCTTGGAGTTTTCTGGAAGTTTTGGCAAGATTAGGAGTTGGTGTAATAGTTAGTAGACAAAGGTGCGGAAGGGGGCCTTCAGGCCCCCTTCCGCACCCCCATTCTTGCCCTTCAGGCCTTTTTTATCCTCCCAACATGTTTTTATGCATCTAATTTGGTTGTAACTATACTTAGGTTAGCCAAGGTTAATCAATCGCAATATTTTGAGGACCTTCAAAATCTTGACAAAATCGTGAGGGAGCTCTATAAGGGTTATCACACGCTTCACTTGATCATTGCACCAGATCTGATATACTTGAATATAAGTGATGACCTTAGAGACTTCTTGACAGACTAAGGCCGTGTGGTAACCCACTTTTTGCTTTTGTGCGAACTTTAAAACAATTTTGGAAACCAGTACCGCAGCAGCCGTGTAAATGGTGATCGGTACATTTAAATAGAGTGAAAATGGATATTCGCGGATCTCGCATGATCTCGTAGAATCCAGAAGTTGGGCGCAATGTTTGGAACAGGCGCCCGACCTGAACGATCGATTCTGAAGGAGTTCTCCTTCGGCGCAAGGCGCATAATCCGCCTTCGGCGGTACACCTTCGGCGCTAGGAGGATCCCTCAAAGTTTATGCAATTCACAACGCCTTAACTTGCTCAGGGTCTTGTTGGAAAGAACTCAACGCGCTCGTTCTAACGAGCCCAAGAACGCCTAGAACGGATGAGGACTTATGGAGTTGTGACTGTCGGAAGATGCAAAGACGAACGCCTACGCATAGGCGGAAGGAGTTCGTCGTCGGCGGGAAGTCCGCCGGGAATTCCGCCTACGCATAGGCGGAAGGAATTCACCTACGCGTAGGCGCTTCGGCATCGGCGGAATATCCGCCTTCGGCCCTAGATGTTCGCCTTCGGCGATGGACGTCTTCGGGTCAACGCCTTCGGCGATGCGGGAGAGTGCATTTGGCGGAAAAGTGAATCCCTTATAACTTTCTCAATTCGTAACGCCTTGACTTGGTTAGGGTTTTGTTGGAAAGAACTTGACGCGCTGGTTCTAACGAGCCCAAGAACGCTTCGAACGGATAAGAGATCAATGAGTTATGAGTGTCCGAATTTACTGATAGGGAGCCTTCGGCGCAAGGGCCTTCGGGCCAAGGAGTTGCGAGTAGGGAGCCGGCGTGGAACGCCAACTTGCTACTTGCTACTCGCTACACGCCGATTCGCCTTCTCGCTACTCGCTACTCGCCTGCGGAAGGGAGACTCCATGCGGACGGGAGAACGCCTGCGCATAGGCGAGCGCCTACGCATAGGCAAGACTCACCTCCGGTGCAGCGCAGGAAAGGAAAGGAGCCGGCGGAAGATCCGCCTTCGGCTCAAGGGCCAACGGTGCCACGTGGCAGAAGATTCCCGATGACGGAAGTTGGCGGGATTATGTCAAGTGTGGGAAGCAGAACGGCGGGGCGTGAAGTCGCACGTGAGAAGCAGGCTGTTACCCATAATCGCGGGAATAGCATTCAAGCGGCATGTGGGTCCCCCGGACCTCGGATTTTGGAGAAGGAATTTTGGTCTAGGTTCAGAGATCTTGTGGGGCCCATATCTTTGCAATGGACAGTGGGATGGATCTGAAATTTATTAAGGCCGTTGGTCTCAGCCGGCCACGCCTGCCTGCAAATTTTCAGCCTCAGATATTGGATTTAAAGATGCTGGCGGCTCTGTACAGTAGGCTTAGAATTCAGATTTAGGGTTAGGGTTAGATTTAGGTTGTAAGTTAGAGGGGAAGGCAGCCGCCGACTCCTCAGGTGTAGGATCTGTTGCGGCTCGCACCATGGCATTGCAGTGTAGTGTTAGTTAGGACTTAGAAGGTTGTAATAACCCACTAAAGGCTAAAACTGCAATATAGTGGTAGAAAGGTCGAACCCACAGGAACAGAGGAACACACAGGGTACAAAGTGTCACATTTAACAGACTATTGAGTAGTTTGAATTCTCAGGCGACTGTCACTTCCAGAAATACTACAAGTGTCCACTCGGAGCGCACTCGGAGGTCGCACAGTGCAGCATAACACACACACACACCTGAAACTACAGAAACACAACCTAGAGATCCGTTAGGACCTCTACTCAAGATGTCCTCTAATGCGGTGGTCTAATGCGGTGGGGGATCCTGTTCCCGACAAGCCCGCACCGCCCGTCTGATCTGTCACTGCCAAAGGCGCATGAGCCGAAGGTGGCTGTGCCGAAGGCGCACGTGCCTCCTCCTTCTCTTCGTCGACCGTCCTCTCGCATGGGGTTTGTGCCCAAGGCGCTTCTGCCGAAGGCGATTGAGCCAAAGGCGGCTCACCCGAAGTCCCTTGAGCCGAAGGCCCTTGAGCCGAAGGCGCTTCAGCCGAAAGCTCTTGGCTCGAAGGCTCCTTACCCGAAAGCTCTTGGGTCAAAGGCCCTTGAGCCGAAGGCGCCTTACCCGAAGGCTCGTTCCGACTTTTCTGCTGCGCCGAAGGCGCTTGAGCCGAAGGCTCCTGACCCAAGGTCGAGTCATCGAACGGTACTTGCTCGAACGCGAAGCACCTGTCCGCCGCCGGGACATTCGTCGGTGCCGCATGTTGTTTCTCATGACCCGAAGGCCGTCTTGCTTCTGCCAAAGGCGTTTGTGCCTTCCGTCCGTCCGCATACCAATCTGCGGCACTTTCAGCGGAACCATCATCAGTTTTAATCATCATCAATTTTCTCGTTTATTCAACTAATATCATCTTGCTTTTTACTCTTCTTCTTTCTTCTTGCCATCTCAATAACTAGGGCGGCAACATGAGACTTGTCGTTAGCCTTTTTCTCCTCACCAAGTGTAACTTCTTTCTCATCCTCTTTTGCAGCAACTTTTATGACACCTTGAACATCATCTGCTTTCTAGTTTGCTCAACCAGAATCACCTTGCTTCCTTTGCTTCTTTTTTCCTTTTGCCATGCTTAGTAACTGAGGCTTCTAC